AATAAATTAATAAAAATAAAATAAAATAAAAATGTAGGCTGAGGGTAGTGGTGGAATAGAAAAGACCCTACTCTGGGACATAAAAGACAAATCACCTCCACCTGACCTATTCAAGAACAGGCCAAATGGGTTGAATATGAGTCAAATAGGCCCTAATGGCTTAGAACAAAGAATAGGGGGGGAAAAAAGACAGCTCTGGCCACTAAAGGAAAAGTCTTATCTAGAAGCCTTAGAAATTTCATGGTCAGCCCTCTGACCAGTCTAGGGAAAGACCCAGAAAAATCGCTTCATGAATACCTAGAACCTGAGCTCCATGAAAACAAGCCCTATAGAAAGCAAATCTGGAAGGAACATATTCATTTATTCATTCATTCATTCATTCATTCTCTCTCTCTCTCTCTCTCTCTCTCTCTCTCTCTCTCTCTCTCTCTCTCTCTCGCTCCCCCCCCTCACTCCCCCTCTTCCTTTCCCTCTCCCTCTACCTCTCCCCACCCCAATCCCCCTAGCATTTACCCCATTTCTAGATAGATAGGGTCTGGGAGTCCCAGGCTTAGCCTAAAGTCAAAGAACACCAAGATAGCATGAAAATACCAGCCACTTTAACAGCTTCTAGGGACAAATTCTTCCATCTTTGGAGAAATAAATGTCATATGGAAAGGATACTTTAAAAAACTGATGAGATAAAATGTCATATAAGGAGAGACAAAACAACCCAAAGAACAAGGAAGAGCAAGTTATTATAGCTGAAATCCTTCCTGGAATTCCAGAACTAAAAGAGCTTTCTCATTAAGTCAATCCCCCTGACTCCAAGTGTGGCATATCTAATTCACTCAGAAGAAAATTCATTCTGGTTTTTAAACTATTCTTCTGTCTGTAACATCAAAAATAAATAAGTGGATAGATAAGCAAATAAATAAATGATCCTTAGGTTAAGCATGCCTGCCTCATGCTCTGTCTTCTATAAAGATGAAGAAAGCAACATCTTGTGAGCTATAACACATTTCAAAGATTTGTGAAATAGCTATTCAACAACTCTGTGGTTTAAATTGTTTACAGTAAACTCCCCTCCCCCCAACCCCAACCACCACACCATAAACTATTTACCATTCACTGATAAATTTTCATAGGTTTAAGGCTGACAATCTCAGAAATAAATAATTAGCAGGCATGAAGGAGCTCAGGCCTTTAACAGCCTCAGAGTGGCACAAAAGGAACAACTGTGCCTTAAGTATTTCTCAAATCACACAGCAATCTGAACCACCCACGGTCTTGTACAGGAAATGGATGATCAAACTCTATAACTAGGCTGAGGGGAAAAAAAATTAGACAGCAAGTAAGTTTTCATTAGAGAAACCATTTATACATCTCACCTCCCATAATAAAAGAGATGCTTTGCTCCTATTGGCTCCCATTAAACAGATTGTCCCCTCCTATTTTCTCCCTTCACCCTCCCTCCACCAAAAAGTATAATAATGGTGAAAGAGAACAACCCTGTTGGCTTTGTACAGACACTTTCTCAAATTACCAGTTTGTATTGTGTATCCTCAGAGATAAATGTGGATTTATTTGTCCACCCACTTAGTATAATATAAAACATCAACCTATTTAAGCATGCTCAAAAAGGACTAGTATATATAGAGAATTATCTGGCATGTGGGCACTGGTACACCAGGGTTTCTGGGCACAGATATGCCAAAATACTGGCCTACAAGTTGCTTAGATTCTGTATCTTTCAATTAATCCCTCTGTTAGTTCAAGTTTGTATCCTTAAATTAACTCCACTTACACCCAGTGGCTCTGAGAATATCCCCATGTTTCCTACCTAATTATTATTGCTGCTTCATCGCCTAAATACCAAAAACTATTCCTTGAACGTATAACAAAGGCAACAGTAATTATTTTCTGAGTCTATTGGTGAATTAATGGTCTAGGCTAAAGGAGAAAACCAAACTAAAATCTAGCCAACAAATCAATCTCAGATTAAATATGCCGACCAAGTCAATTTCTAGAGGACAGATGATGAAATACATTTCTCTTGGTAGGGAGGGTAGAAGGTCTGGCTACCAATGCACACTGTTACACAGATATGGTCCCTCTATTGGTCAACTTTGAATAACTTCTTTTTTTCTGGTAACTTACACCTCTTAACCCCACAAAGATCTCTAATTGCTAAAATTTCAGCTAGTAGAGGGAAATATTTTAGGAATAGAAAGTGAGTGGTGTGTCTTCCCTCAAATCATCTCATCCAACCTACTCTCCTCTGTGAGGCTGCTTTTTCAAGAGAAAAGGGGAGAAGGAAAAAGTGAGTTTTGTTATAGGGAACATTTCATGGGGCTTTATTTGGAAGTAATTGTGATATAAAAAACAAAAGCCATAAAGAAAACTAAAAATTATTAGCCTTCAAGTTCCTTTCAACTATTATCTGGAATAAATCAAAATCAAGCCAACATTCACTGATTTTTCTGCTTTGATATTAACTGAAGAAGCCTTTCAGAAAATGAATAAAAAACAATTATACAGAGAGAGTTCATCAGAGATCGTGTAGAAGACAATCTTATTATGAAAAGCAAATGATTTATGCTCTGGTAGCTACTGGGGCCTTTACTTTAACAGCATAATGATGAATGGAGGAGGAGGAGGAGGAGAGGTGCTCATGTGGACAAGATTAACTGTATCAGCAAGCACAGCATCCCTCTGACCAGCTCTCATCTTATATCCAGAATTCTTACCAAGCTATATGTTTTTGCAGCTACCTATACCATTAAATCCCTCCAGGCACACATTCTGTTTGTTGTATGCTATCCTGGACCCTAATCATAGAATGAGCTCACTTTGGCAGGTGAGCTGAGAACCAGGCAGTAAATATTTAGATCAGGTGAAGAGGACAAGCTTTGTTAAGTTCCCTTTCTCCTTCAGGGAAACCATCAGAGTCATCATTTCTACTCTGCCTGCACAGCGTGTCCCACCTTGTCCCCTAACTTTAGCTTTCTACCCTGCAAAATCTAATCTTTGAACCACAGTGAAAAAGAATGGGTGAAGGAGGTGGAGGACTACCAGAATTGTCATTGTACCACACACTGAAAAGGAACAACAGATTTGATGTTTGAAAGAAATGGGTTCAAATCTTGACTTTGAAAACATCTCTGAGCTTCAGCTTCCTCATCTTTAAAATAGGGATAGTAATAATACCTTCCCCACCAATCCAGGCCTGGGAGGTTTCATGCCAAAGTCAACTGCATAAAAGCACACTTGCCCTTGCACTCAGGGCCCACCCCTCCCGAAGAGGGTGGAGCCCATTTCTGGCCAGAAACGTCTAAATCCTCTGGACTTTCTCTGTAATAAATTTTCTTGATACTAAAAACAAAAACAAAAACAAAAACAAAAACAAAATAATACCTTCCCCAGAGGATTGTTGTGATGACTAAATGAGATTACATATCACTTTGTAAATTGTAAAGGTCTATATAAAGATCCATTATGCTATTTGAGTAAGAGGTTGGTTCACACGAATCTAAGTGTGTCCAGGGACTTCAGATTACATCTTGCCTTGCTCCTAACAACTGAAATATCTGCCAATCTGAGGTTTCTGGAAGACCTGTGTCATGGGTGCTCCCATTCTGAGGAGCAAGTAGGTCCCATTGCCTGAGTCTTCCATATTACAAATCCAGAGATATTCAGAGGGCACTCAGACCAGTTTCCTGAACAGTCCAGTTCCTCCTACTTGACCCAAAAAATACTTGGTTTGGTTATCTAAAAGTAATACCAATGGGAACCATTTGAATCAATGGTCTATCATTTATGCATAATAGCTATGCAGGGCAGTAACATTCATGAACATTACTAACTAGGATGGCTAGATTTTGCAGTAAGTTTTATTTAATTAAAACAGTAAAGGCTACTTACATAAACCGAGTTTCCTAGTTGTTACCCATAGGGTCATTTAATCACAACTTTAACAAATTAAAAGAAACACTGCTTACTGTACTGTATGTAAGCACCTCATCCTGAGCTACTGAAATTTTATAAGTGACCCCTCCAGTGGCTCTTATTAAGCTGAATCAGTGCAAACAACACAAAATTTAGGGATGTGGGAGGAAAGTACATGGTTGAAAGACAAAAATAATTATACCTATTAGTAAGTTACCCAGTAGAGACTAAGAAGAGAATTTGCAGAGGGCAATGTCTCAAAAATTACTGCAATAGACCAGGATGGGGTGGAACTAAAACTGTGACCCAAAAGAAACTTTTTAAGACTTCTTGCTCACTGCAAGAAATATTGATGTCCCTATCACTACTCAGGCAGGTACAGGTAATTCCATCCCTTTCACCCACTTGGGAAGGAAGTTGTAACTGAGATCTAATCTTTAGGACCTTGAAAACTCAAAGCATCTAACTTTGGAAAACAATGTGATATTCACATTTTTGTACTGATAATGAATGTAACTGAGGCAAGGAAACTTTCATTTTGGGTGTTATACCCTAAAATTTTAGGAAAGAAAGGTCAATAAACTGGGAAAGTAGCCCCATGATGAGACTTCTGAGTTGACTCTTAAAGCTAGAAGAGATCTTAAAAATCATTTAAGTCCAATCTTTCACTTTACAGCTGAAGAAAATGAGTCACAGAGAGTCAGGATAATTTGACCTAGAACATAAAATTGGTCAATAGCAGAACTGGGATTTGAACCCAGGGCTCCTGAACTGATTCCAGTTCTCTTTCTACCACAGTAGGATGCCTCTAAAATTTTGCTAGGTATGAACAATTTATTTACATTCTTCTTTTCCATTCCCAAGGTATTCTTTATGTTAGCAAAGTACATATAGCTTAAGCAGCAAACAGTACAGATAATCTGAAAAGTTATGTCCTGAAATAGAATCCTGTTTTTGACAAGGCTTTCATTCAAATAGTGTTGACAGCATGAATTAGGCCCTAAATGTACAGCAGCTGAAGTCTGAAGGGCTTCACCAAGCACAGTAATATATTGTAGAAAGAACCAAGCTACCTTTGTCAGCTGTTGCTCAGAAGAAAAACCCAAACCAAACACAGTGTTTGCTCTGCTGTCTGCCCACTGGCCGAATTTCTGCGATGTTTTGGTGAAAGTCATATTAGGTGTGATTGTGCTGTTGATGATTACCTGCAGAAAAAAAGAGTCCAAAGAAAAAAACTACATTAGAAACCAAACTCTCTACTTTTGAACAAAAGTATTCATTAATAAACCGCCTCCTCTGCTTAGACATATTTGGTGCTAATTTTGAGGGGAGAGTCCAGCTAAGAAACAGCAGACAGTGAATCTAAATTAAGATCCTACAAATTGCTGGTGGGAGAAATTATTTTCTAGTCATATAATATTTTGCAGAATTGCTATTTTATTTTCCCCCAGAAGCTGCCACCTACTAGAACTCCCATTCTGTGGCACCAACAAGCCCAGAAATGTCATTCCTTTCTCTCAAAGTGTAGCTATGACTATGAGTTTTAAGACTCTCAGTGTTCACCCACATGCAAAACCTAAGCTTCCAAATCTGCATATGCAAATGAAGTGTCCAGCCAATTACTAGGGGGGCCTGTTCCCTTTACTGTCTTCTAGCTGCCAGAATCCCAACAGAATGTGAGCTCCTTGATGGCAGGGAACAACCATGTCTCAGCCTTTCTTCCAGCCCCGGCACTTAGCACAATGCCTGGCACAGAGTAAGCACTTAAATTCTTGTTGAATGACTCACTGGACATTACCAAATAGACTCCTTCTGGATTCTAAGGCTGATTACTTTGCTGAACCACTTCCCTGCCCCACAATCCAATTTTTCAATTTTACCCTATGTGCTTGAATGCTGAAAAGAAAAAACCAGTACAAATCTTTGTAAGCCTGACTCTAAGAAAGAAATCATGAAAAATATTTATAGATAGTGTGGTTGGAAACTTTTTTTTAAGCCTATCTATTTGGCAAGACAGTTTATGACACCATAATCTCCATTTTTTCTAATTATTTATGGGATGTTTCCCCCATTAGAATATGAGCTCCTTGAGGGCAGGAACTGCTTTTTCCTTTCTTCATATCCCCATGGTTTACCAAAGTGCCTGGCATATTACCAAGTGTTTAATATTCCCTTGTTAACTGACACCACAGGGAAAGAATGGTAGTCATTTGAGCAAAAGTCCTAAAAAGGGAAAATATTAGTAAATTCACTAATTAAGGGGATATTCACATTTGTTGACTGTACTCAAATAACTCAAATAACAGTTTGAGCTTATACCCCCTAGAATCATTATTTGACTAGAGGAGAGAGAGAAAAGGCACTCAGATTTCTTAAGTATACATGAATTCCACAGAAAAGGTCAGTGGTAGAGAAATAAAAGAGAAAGGAAGAAAGTGAATTATCTTTAATAGGAACTCATGGGAGAGAGAGCAAAAAGAAAGATACCTACAAACTTGCCCTTTTGGAATCACATACTAACTAGTCATTGAAAAATGTGAACTTGACAACAATTGTAATTGAGGAAGACAAATGAGATTCCTGTACAAAGAGGTTCTATGCAAAAAACTAGAGAGAAATTTATGAGGTCTCACAGGGCTTTCACTGAAGCCTGGTCAATGTCAAAACAGGAAAAAACTTCTTGACTGTCTTCAGAGGAACTGTTACCAGAGACTCTCACCAGCCTCAATTAATATATTCTTCCAAAAACTTCAAATACCCTTTAAATATTTTAAATCCCTTGAAATAATAGGAAGCCAGTCTGGTTTCAGGTGGTTATAGTCCCTGAATTATCAATTAGATAGCGTAAGGCATATAACAGTCCTTCAATAAATGTTTGAGGAATGGATTTTTTCTAATGTATGTCTCAATTCTAAGATTCTATGAATGAATTACAGTCATACCACAGTTCCCTACCAAAGGACAGATGCCCTGTCTACATAACTAAGCAGAAGCTTTTAAAGGTAGTTTCACCAATTATACCTAGTTAATGTTAATGGGGATGGAGGTGAGAAGATGATTCATTTTCCTGGCAAACTGTTCCAAAGGCATCAATGAGTCAAACATTATTAAAGGCTTACTATGTACCAGGCACTGTGCTAAGTTCTAGGGCTACAAAGAAAAGGCGAAAATGGTCCCTGACCTCAAGAAGCTCACATTCTAATAGGGAAGACAAAATGTTTATAAATAGATACATACAAGAGATGCAGAGTATATAGAAGGTATAAGGCATACTGAAATCAATTAGAATAATAGGCCAACTAATGAATTTTTGAGCAGAAATCTCCTTAGAAGGTAATCTTAAGCATGTTTCCCATTAACCTACAAAGACAAAAATCTCACCAACATCCTATGTTTGTACTCAAGCAGTTGAAGGTAAATTGAGCCTACGCAAACTTCTACAAGTCACTAGCCCTCTGTAAGCCTCTGACAACACCACCAGCTTTCTCTTTTAACATTTTTTCCCTTCAAGGAAATCTTTCTTCCTTTTTCCCCCTCCCCACACAGGTACCCAATGTCCTCTGGATCTCTGACATTCACCCTTCTCTCAAAATAGAAGAATGTTATCAGTCACTTATACTTATGGATGAACAGGCTGAAGGTGCTTCCAATGAACGTGTGTGTGTGTGTGTGTGTGTGTGTGTGTGTGTGTGTGTGTGTGTGTCCACCTGAGCCATTAATTTCTAATTGTGTACTGAAAAATGGGGAGAGAGGCTGGGGAAAGTGGCTAAAATCACACTGCACCATACTTATTCTTTTGGCGTGGAAGATAAATCTAATTAAGTTCTTTCAAGGTAAGTGAGAAAGAGAAATGCCCAAAGGGAGAATTTCTCCCTGCTCCTATCTAGCACTTCCCTGGGGAAGCCATCAGGAATGTCTTACAGCTGGAGATCTAATTTCCTGATCTCAAAAAGCTGCCTGGAGGAGAGATGCCAGATTCTCCTAGTTACCAGCAGCTTTTTCCTATGAACTTGGAAACAAGTCAAGCCAAGTTAACAGGCATTTATTAAGTACTTTTTACATGCTAAACACTGAGTTAAGTGCTAAAATCTTACCTCTTTCTTCTCTTCTCTTCCCTGCTTGGGCACAGGTCAGCTTCACTCCCTTAACTTTGATCCAACTTTCCATTACCTCCCACCTCAAGACTCCCAGATGCATATTTTATGTTTTCCAACACGTCTGAGGCCTCTTTAGTTAATACGTAATTACTTTGTATACCTTTACCTCCCTTATCTGCTGTTCTGAAAGGTATCCAGAGTTTCTTGTATCATTTCTACCTCTGATAACAGATGTTTCTGACAAAGTAACTAGAATATGTTTTGTTTAAAAAAAAAGGGGTGACTACAGTCTTGGGGAATACAGTAAAGTGTACACACATCAATTACTCTAGTAGTACCAAGCTTAAGGCAAGTAAGACCTCCCAACATGAGTAATTCAGCATCTGCCTGGAACAGATTCTATCACATATTCTAGTGAATACTCCATAAAATTTTTGGATCAGAAGGGACCTCCCAGGTCACCTCGTTCACAAATATGTACCAATGATGCATGTTGGGAAGGCAGAAAATAGTATATGTTAGAGAACTTGCAAGGAATGTTTTAGGAATAGTTCTTAGGAGTTTATAATTTTAAAGCTATAACAGGTGTTGGTCACGATGTGATCCTAACAATCACTCTATAGACTAGAGGACTGATGCCTAGCCAGTTTAAGTGACTCAAGGTCCTACAGCTCATAGAAGAGCTGGGACAATACTATGCAGATGATTGTTGGGCCAGTTTATTTTTTATTTCATCATGCCTTTCCAAATGATTGTAGCAAATAACCCCTTATGAATTCTAGGAGGGTCAAGAAATGCTCATGCATATCACTGGGCAGCCCAAAAGCATACAAAACAAAGAAAATAAAAAGAAGGAAAATAAAGTGGGAAAGTAGGAAAGGACAGGAACAGTGAGAAAAGAGTCCAAAAAGGCACTATTTAGTAGTAAATGCCAGCAGCATTACCTCCAGTGCCACATTTTGCTTACCCTTGGCAAAAACATAGATTTTTTTTTTTTAAATCTCCAACAACAAAGATCTACAACCTAAAATTCCACATTTAAAGGTAGCTTCCAGGGCAATAATAGTTAGCAACAAATTTTAAATCCTCTTGCATTGCTACAAAGAAAACTAGGGTGTTTGTTTTATTGGGTTTTTTTTCTTTTAATTCATGCAACTTACTTTACACAATAGCTATATTCTTCAGAAATGAATTTTATTATCAACATAATTTTGTTTTAACTGCCATAAGTGATCTCTTTTTCTCTTTTAAACTCCTGTAGATTTTATTATATTACTTGGTATTATAGCTATTGTGTATGGCCAGTATCTTCTATACTGTATAGGTAGTTCAATAAATGAAGCAAAGTTGGGAAATAGAAATCATTGGCCTTGAAGCCAGAAAGTCTGACTTCAGAGTTCTGAGTCAGATTCTACTAGCTGTATGATTACGGGCAAGTCACTTAACCTGATCCTCACTTTCCTTATCTGTAAAATGGGAATAACTATATATTTGCATTATTAACCTCAAAGAGTTCTATATGCTGGTATAATCAAATGAATATAGAACTAAAGGTGAAACTACATATATCTGCTATCCTAGATAAGGCACTGGAAAAAGGACAGAGTGCTAGAGAAGAATAGAGTCAGGTTTAGAAGGGTGGCCAATTGGTTACTAGCCCAATAATGCAAAATGCTCAACTCTGCCAACTTTAGCATGTAGTTTGTCTATGCGAAAGCATCAATTACTCTCCAGCCAATCTGCTTCTTTTGGAAGTCAAGCATGAGTCACACAGTCAATCTAGAGGATGTTTTGCATTTGAATGTGAGAAGCCATCTGGACCAGCCCAAGCACTGAAATTGGATGTTTCGACTGCATATTCCCAGCCTTTTCTTGCCTTGCTCTCTTCCCAGCAGAAGGGCAAATGAAGAATCTACAAGGGACATCCTTAATTGAGGTTGTTAGTTCCTGATTCCTTCATTTAGACTAAATTAGAGAAGGATAACTTGGCATGTTAAGTCTAAAAGAGTCAGACTAGATCAAGATATTTTCATGATCAATTAATCAATAAACATTGAATTAAGCAACTAGTTATTAGCTGCTAGGCACTATACTAGGAACTGGGGATG